TTACGAATGCTGTGCACCAGAGATAAAATACTAACATATAGTATGACATTTCATAAGCGTTCCTACCCATTTTTCTGCTTCCCCAAACTGATTACAATGTAAATAAAGTCAGTGAAATGTCGTCCTAAGTTAGAAAATGCAAGTTCCAAATACTTCTCCATCTTTCTTGTTCAGCAAATATCATGGAGATATCAGAAATGATTTTTAAATGGAATAACTAGGTACTGTTCATGCAGTAACAAGCCCCCAAATCTCAATTGCTTAGCACAGGAAGAGTGACTTTTCCCTCATGAATAGTTCGAGGTGGGTGACCAGGTGGTGGCAGCGTCCCCCACGAGGCAGCACCATCCCTCTCCCCCTGTGGCTGTGCCGGCAGAGACTCCCTCAGCCAGCCAGCCAGCATCCAGAAGATGGTGGAGCAAACAGCGCTCGCCTGGCCTAGCCTGAGTGCTGTGACTCAGTTGACAGCTGTGGGCAGCAGTTTCCAGGGACAGTGCCACGCCGGCTCATGGCAGCACACACGGGCGGGCAACTCGCTGTCCTAGCCACACAACTGAAAAAGGAAACCCTCTGTATGCAGCTTGTTGATTCTGTGAAAATTAAGGTCATGTCACCTCATCTTAGATACCAACAGAATTAAGAAAAGAAACCCCTTATCTAGCCCCAAGGCAACTTACAGTCAGGGCATATAGCTGTCCACAGAGACATTCGCGAGTCAGTTTTCTGGCCATGTTCCAGTTCGCCTTGCACACCCCCTGTCCTCCTTAGCCGTCAGGATGGAAATGGAGCTGGCTTCCAGCTGAGTGTCTACTTACCAATCATGGTTTCCAGAATCTATCGATTGTATCAATACTGTATTAGAAATTTGGAAAATTGAAAATGCCCCTTACTGTATTTTTTCTCGATCACTGTGGAATACCAGGAACAATTGTATGTCATTAGTAGACCACCTTTAGTCAAGACGTGACTAAAAGCTGTCCCCTTAAAATGTACGTTAAGGGTCCAAAGGCCTATAAGGATATTCACTTGGACTTTTTCTAGTTTGTATTTTTTAAGACCCTCTAAATCCCATCCATATAATGAAAGCACTAACAATAGGAAAAATGTAAAGGCTGCTGGTAGAGTGACACAATTCCAAATGGATTTCACAAGAGCCCTTCCCGGTGTAAAAACTTGCTGAGGTCACTCCGTGCTTGCGTGTGTGCATCAGTCACGTTGCAGGGAGAAGCCACAGCACCGAGCACTTCCCAACCGGCACTGGGTTCCACGTACATGAGTGACTTCATACCAGTTCCTGAAACTTTGAATCCAGAATTATCAATGTCTCACAAATATAAACAGTACAATGAAGCACTTAGTGTGCAGCCTCTCACCAAACCCCGTCCTGTGAGGTGTGAGGGGTGTGTGTGAGTATGTGAGGTGTGTGTGGTGTGTGAGTGTGTGAGGTGTGAGTGTGAGTGTGTGAGGTGTGAGGTGTGTGAGTGTGTGTGTGGTGTGTGTGGAAAGCCCAAGTCCCATTGTTTACTCTTCCACCCTCTTCATGCAAGGCCTGTAGTTGGCCCTGAGAAGTCAGATTTGAAATGACAGACAACTTAAAAAGTAATCATTCTTTTGTTTTGTTTTTTTGTTTGTTTAAGATTTTATTGGAGAAGGGGAACAGCCAAGTTGTTGTCCTTCAATTTTAGTTGTGGAGGACACAGCAAGCTCAGCTCCAAGTCCAGTTACGCTGCTCAGCTCAAGGTGCCGAGTTCAGTCTTAGTTGCAGGCAGGCGTAGCCACCATCCCATGCGGGAGTTGAACCAGCACCCTTGTTGTTAAAAGCGCACGCTCTGTCCCAAGCCACCCGGGCAGCAGCTCAGCTCAAGGTGCTGAGTTCAGTCTTAGTTGTGGGCGGGCGTAGCCCACCATGGAACAGGCAACCTTGTTGTTACACCAGCTGAGCCATCCTGCCACCTGTTGGCAGCTCAGTGACAGCTCAGCTTGGGCACAGCTCACTGACCCGTGTGGGAATCAAACCGGCAATCCTGTTGCTCAGAGCTTGCATTCTTGAGCAAGCTCTTAACCAACTGAGCCACTCAGCCGGCCCCAAGAGTAATCATTCTTAATATAAAATTTTACAACTGGAGTCCTAAGTTCTGACTGCTGTATTAAATAATTCCATAATATTCAGTTCATGCTGAAAAGTGTTTGTTCTAGAATATTTCAGACATTCAAGGGACTATTGAGAAGAACTTACATCCATGACCTACTGCACAACTCTACGGAAAAAAGTGCAAATTTCAAGCAAGCCTCCTATACAAACCTTCCCAGGGCCACCCTCCCTCTATCAAATATCTTTATACTTTTATTACCTACATGTATGTACACTTATTTTTGTGCTTTAAAACATGTCTGCATCTTTACACAGCCCGTTTTTCCTCCCATGTTGATGCAGGTAGGTGAGTTTATTTAAAGTTCCGTATGAAATGCAATTTTAATGCTACACCAAATGGCATTTATCTGTCCTCCTGAGAAAAGTTGGTTTCCTTCTTGGAATGTGTTTCTTTTTATTTGCTGTTACTATTTTGCTATTAGAAGCATTACATCAATGAACGTTCTTATATGTGCATTAGTTTCCTAGCGCGCCCTACAAATTACCAGAGCTGGCTGGGTGCCAATGCAGAAATGTGATCTCTCACCAGGTGGCGGCCAGAAGTCACAGCCGGCCAGCAGGGCCGCACTCTCTCTCTGGCCTCCAGGGGTCTCTTCTGTCTCCCGCTTCTGGGGGCTCCTTGGCTTGTGGCTGCACCGCTCCCATCTCCGCCTCTGTTGCATCCCTCCAGCCTGTGTCTCCTCTTCTCTCCCCTCTGCGGACACGCATCACTGGAGTTAGGACCCACCGAGGCAGTGGACAATGACCATCTTGTGATCCTTAACGTGATCACACTGCAAACACCCTTTCTCCAAATAAGATGCATCCACAGGGTCCAGGTGGATGTAACAGGGGCCACCGTTCAGACCCTGCTCGTGCCCAGTGAGCAGCCGAGGTTAACGCCGGTGGTCAGAGGGACTGTTCGCCTCTCCCTGTCCTAGGACAGCCCTGCACGTGACTGACAGACCTAACCCGGCCGGCAGGAGCCGAGCTGTCCCCTGGTGGCGCGCCCTGCACACAGTCTCCGGACTCCTGATCACTTAAAAATACAGAAAACTGTCATCCTTGGGTCTCGTGCACTATGAATTTGAAAAGTAATTCTCCCATAATTTCTGGTTCTTTTATGGTTTGATTTTTGGCTTTTTAAATTGTCAATGAATTTGGAGTTCATCCTTATATAACATGAAGCTGTAGCTGAACATTGGTTTTTCCTCCGAAGACCACATTTATTTTGTAATTCAGCTTTTCCACATTGATCTGAGGTGCTATCTTTATCATATATTAAATTACTTTATACAGTTTATTTGGGCCAATTTCTGAATATTCTGTTTTGTAAAATGGATTTTTCTGTGTATATTTGCATCTACTATAAAGTCAATTATTGAGACTTTATAATATGTCACAGCTTCTGGCAGAGCTTGTGCCCCTCATTATTCTTCTTTTGCATATTTTTTTTCTAGCTTTTCTTTTTTTTGCTTTCTTTTTGTTTGTTGTTGTTTTTTTTAATTTTGTTTAGTGTTTTTTGCTTCCTTTCCTTTTTTTTTCTAGCTTTTCTTGCTTTTTTATTTTTCCATATGAACTTGAGAATTACTTTGTTAAAAGACTCTTGTAAGACTTAAAAGAGATGACTTTGATTTCATTAAGGCAAACAGTAGAAAGACCATCTATCATAAGAAAATACAAAAGACAAATGACAAACAGGGACTCAATATTTGTAACTCATATTCTAGGATAAAGGTTAATTCCCTTGATATATAAATCAATAAGAAACAGGGAAATACCCCTCCCCCCAATAAACGGACAAGAACTATGAAAAAAAAATTTATAGAAATGAAAAGATACTCAACATAACTTATCCTAAAACCACAAATTAAAAGTACACTGAGAACTCCACAACGAAGAAACCGGTCTGTAGCCATACGCTCATCTAGCATTGATAACTTGTACTAGACACGGGTAGAAACACGGAAACAAAGCCTATAGCTAGGAATAAATACAGAAACAGTCCCAGAAGGAACCGAGGTGATAAAATTATAGGACAAGGGTATCAAACTACCTTTTACAATATGCTCAAGGGTTTAAAGAACAACATAAACACAATGAGGACAGAAACAGAAAGAACGAAAAATAATCAAGTGGGACTTTCAGAGCCAGAAACACAACCTGTGAAAGAAACATTCATCTGATGCTCTGAACAGCAGATTTTATGTCTTTGGCTCTGCGGGTCTCTCGTCCTGCGATGTGGGAATGACCCACATGCCTCAGAGCTGGGGGGTTATGTGAGCATTGTTTGGACAAATATTAATAGTTGTTCCTATGAGCTTAGGAATGCCCAGTCGCTACTGAGATGCAAAATGCTACACATTTTGCATTTATTACTCGGAGTAACCACTGAATTCCTGAGTCTCCTACCATTTTACTAATAAGGAAAATCTATACAGACAGTTGAAACATTTTTCACAAAAATAGCAAAACTCATTAAATTTTATGTTATCTATTATTAGATAGTTGTAAAATATGTCTTTTGTTAATTCTTAAAGTTTTTTAAATTTTATTAGTATTGAGGTGAACTAAGAATTATAGGGTGGAGGTACATAATTGGGAGATTGGACCAGATTTTAGGATACTTTAGAATCCCATGATTTTATAATTTCTGGGATTTTGAGAGTTTAGGGTTTTCCAATGTCAGAGTGAATTTGATTTATTAGGAAAATAGAGATGAAACAATTAATAATTGAGAATTTCCAGTTAATTTCCTTTGGTAGGATACGGTTTGTTAATGCTTAATTGTGTAAGAGAAAAAATAAATAATAAATTTCTAACTTCTATTTAGATGTTTTCATTAAAATCATTTTTTTTAATCTTTTAGTGAATAACCCCATCCCTTCCAATTTGAAATCAGAAGCAAAAAAGGCTGCTAAAATTCTAAGAGAATTCACAGAAATAACTTCCAGAAATGGACCAGATAAGATCATTCCTGGTAGGTAAATAAAATCTGTACTAGTCATTTCTAAACTTGTTGTGTTTTCTCAGTTACGTCTGCATTCCTGGACTCCAGGCAGACACCCCATGAGAGCAGCAGGCCCTCTGTCAGGCCCAAGGTCTAAGGGCTGATCTAAGCTGAACCCCTGGGGGCCACTGCCTGCTTAGACCAGACCAGCTGTTTCTAAAGGGTGTGGCACAGAACACCTGCCTCCAAGCAGAGCAGCTTGGGCAACATCGCTGACGAATGTGCCTCGTCCTGAATCAGTGCCTGACTGATCCTGCATTAAAGAAACCAGTTTAACTTCTTAAGCCCGATTTTCAGAAGTTCTTTAACAGAACTTCAAATGTCTAAACAATTTTGAATTTGTTATCATAATATTAACGTTATGAACTTTGTTTGGACCCAGCCATCTTAAGAAAACACGTTGCATAAAGCCGTGCTCCTCAGAGCCCACTGTGGGTCCTCAGACATGCAGGCTTGACAATCGGAACCCGTTGTCCACAAGGTCTCCAATGAGTGTTATGCACACAAGTTTGAGAAGCACAACCAGAATAATTGCATTTTTGGTAGCAATGCTCTGAAGCACAAAATGTGGTCATTTATAAACATGCTTTTGCTCTACGTTTCTAAACAGAAGTGCCACTGATTATAAAGCATTACGTAAGGATGCAATGATGAGTGTTGAGCATTCGGCCAGCATGTGGTTGTAGAAATAAGCCTACGTGATGTGGAATATAGCTTTCAGTCTTTTTACAATATACTTATAACCTTTTACAGCACAAAACTAAGGTGTGCTCCATAGATTACCATGTGAAAGCTTCACTTTGTGTACCTTGGTAATGGAGAGCGACTACAGACCAGATGGTCTGCATGGCAGCTTCTTCACACTCTCGAATGAATTATCTCTGAGGGTCTGTTATTTATTCAAATCAATAAGTGATGTGCATAATTATTTTAGAAATGTAGTGGTTTTCTAGGGATACCTGCAAAACCTTTTCTTGTGTACCTGAGTACATTGTTTGGTGTGACTTCCTTGACAGAATATTTAACTAAAGTGGTGATAAATTCAAAGACCTTAAAAATGACATCGAGGTCCAAGAATGATTTTCAATATTTAGGTTTCCCTTGACATTTGAAAGATGTACTATTGTGTAAAATAACCCCACAGAGCAGTGGGACACTGTGTTTAGTGGGTATAAGTATTAATAACCCTCATTTTGTGATGAACTTCCCTGAAATGTGAATAAACCAACCTGTAAATTGACTCATATTTTCAGGGCACTCCTAGATGTTATTTTAATATTGTAACCCATCATTTTATAAAGGTAAAAAATGTCTTAACGTGGCAAAATCACTTAATTTTCCATTTCTTAATCTAGATGTTCATGTTAATAAAAGGTGAACTATATGTCTTTAAGATCAAAGTTGTGCCACATGCCGTGTGTCAGTCATTTTAAAGTTTCTCCTTAATACTCTATGGATCCCAATTTCTTTGAAAATAATGACTTGTTTTTTTAAATTATGAATTATATGCTAAACTAATGGAAATCTCCAAATTATTTGTCCTGCTACTGGATATTAATAAAACGTCATCCAAATCTCTCATTTCTTAGGGCAGTTGCAGGATTTTTGAGCACTTATGATGTGACAGTTAGCATTGCAAACCCAACAACAGAAGAGGAGGTAGACTCGGGGGGCCCAGCCCATCTGTTATGTAACTAAGTTTATCCAGGGCTCACATGTGCCATTAAGACTTCTCACGAGAACCCGCAATCCAGTCAAGTCAACCTGTGTGCGTGTCGACTCTTTAACACGTGCTCACTCACTGTCTTTACCTTTGGCAGCCCATGTGATCGCTAAAGCGAAGGGCCTCGCGGTTCTGTCTGTGATAAAAGCTGGATTTCTGGTAACCGCTAGAGGAGGCAGTGGGATCGTATTGGCGCGTCTTCCAGATGGAAGTAAGTTGATGTGTCTTCACTTGGAGAAGTAGAGAATCTTAATTATTTGTTGTTCCATTTCCATTTTGAATGCATTTCATAGGGAATGTAACAGATTTCCTTCCTCCTGCCACCTAAACTTGTCATCCTGAGGGCTCCGCAGAGGCGCACCAAGGGAGTTCAATAACCCCGGGCAACAAGCCTTCACGTTTCTCTCCTCTTCTTAAAACATTAGACAAGACTCAGTGGGCACACCTGGCTTTGTCTTGTATATCTTTTGCAATTCTTTCATGGAGCAAATATTAAACATGACAATATTTGCATTTCTGTTGTGAAATATGTATTCTTATTCCTCAACTTCATGGTACAATGGATTTCTTTTATTTTATGGAAGTTGATAAGAAAATAAGGGTCATCTGTAGCTTTTCTAGTGTTCCCATGAGAAAACAGTAGAATATGAAACATGTTAAAAATCTCCCTGAGGCAGAATCATATCAAGATCAATGTAATTTGGTTTTACTTTCTGGGGTGAAATCTCATACTGGATTTTTCAGACATGAAATCCAAATATATTTGCCTTGAATTCCAAGAACCAACATTCATAGTAATATTTAAAATGTCATAACCAACTAAAATGTTTTTCATACCACTGTCACATTTGCTGTTCAGGCATGTAAGTGAACTCGTTTTTCTGTAAATAGTTATTTTTCAGTATAGATAAATTATTGTGCGAGGGAACGTGGGCCATTTGCTGACAATAGATACATCTGGGTGTTTGTGGGGCACATGGCCCTTGGGCTTCAGCCGGTGGGGCCCATTACTTCTGCGACGTGTCCCCACAGGGCATGAGTCTCTGAAGCTGTGGTCAATTCAGAGCTCGTTGCTGGGCTGTGAAACAAAACCACAGAATTTTCTTCACCTCAAACACCACCCAAATTCTGGCGGGCTGACTTCTCAGCAACACAACCAAAGTGGGGGCGCACCCAAGAGAGTGCCTGTCAGATGGGCCCCCGAGTCTGTCAGAAGGCCCAGGCCCTCTAGGCCCCCTGGGTCCTTGACAGAGTGACTGTCTGAGCAGGTGCGGGCGCTGTCAGCCTCTGGGACTTCGCTCAGAACCTTGGGTGCACCTTTCCCCCCAGGGTTAAATACCGACTTGCTTCTCCCCCATCTTGCCCATTAGCAGCTGCTCAGTCTGCAGAGGGCAATTTAAAAGCTGCCCAAATGAGCCACAGCACATTCCCAGACCCGGCCAGATGGGGGACAGGAGCAGTTCCTAACACAGGAAATGGAAAAGAACTTTGGGATCACAAAACACTAGTTTCTACAGTCCAGCTCCTCCAAGCCTGGACAGACTAGCTCTGGGTGTGCTCAGGCAGCATCACATTATCTGGAATACGTGGTAGCAAGCAAAAGTTTGAGTTAGAGAGCTAACAAGCATTTTAAGAAGTTACGTTATCTAAACTATCCCACCCTCCCCCAATCAAATTCACTTTTTCCTTGACTAGTTTAACCTAAACTTCTTTCAATCCTTTTGCTTTCTTATATCTATGATAAAATAACTAAAGACTAGACTTACTGCTCAATTATTTTGTGAAGCATTATAAAACATTGATTGATGAGATCATCAAATGCTATGTATGTATGGTGAGAATTCAGTAGTTTGGTCTTAGGCATGTTTGTAGAGAAAGATCAGAGAACAGGGATTTCTGAGTCTAAGAGACTCCTAATGAATAGCTAATACTTTTCAAATATTTTTAATTTAAAAAAATCTATATATGCTTATTAAAGAACATTTAAAAGCATAAAGGAAAATGCCAAATTCTTATTACTTTAAAAAGAAACACTATTCATTCTCATTTTAGCATTTTTATTTCCGATATTCATGTGATAAGGGGTTTTAATGTTCATGCTTGTTTGTTTTTATTAGAATGGTCTGCACCTTCAGCCATTGGGATAGCTGGGCTTGGTGGAGGATTTGAAATAGGCATTGAGGTAAGTGGGTGATGTGTGCACATAGAGTTGCCATATTCTCTAAAAGCAACTGAAACTTAATACATGAAAGTGGAGAGATTTCCTACTGTTCTTATTTTTTTACCACCAGTGGAAATGGTTCCCTTGTATTTTCTTGATGAATCTCGATCTAAAATTTGCTAATGTTTACCATTTTTCTTTCATTTAGAGTAGAATTTTTTTTTTCATTCTCCATCTGTTTCTATCTTTAGCACGTCTGTGGAACAGCTATGTCTCACATCTGACAAGCTATGCTTGGAAATTTATGGCTGGCTAACTGGGAAGCTGCTTGTCCCTCAGTGGGCTGCTGGCTGGCCTGGGCCCCGACAGCTCAGCGCAAGCGGCCCGACACAGCTTCATCCTGTGTCGAGGCAAAGCCCGTTCCTTCCAACTAATATTCAAATGACTTCAAACTCCTTCAGTAAAGATTGACTTTGCATTGTTTCCGTTTATAACTTTGGTCCTAATGGTTATGGCTTCTATCAAGTGGACTAGAAATCACACTAGGATACACTCGTTTGCAGAGGTCCGTTGCATAGGGATCATCTGCTGCTTTATTGCTAAGTGTTTGGTAAATCAGCACTCCTGATACTCTCAAATCATGTTCTTCTCCCATTTCAGCCACTTCTTCCTCAGCTCTCCTTTTATGAATTTGCTCTGTTGCCATAGTTTTGAATCCCCTCGGCCTTATTAGGAGTAAGTATTCCCGTGACTCTGTTTCATTTTTATTTGACCTTCTTTACTCACTGCTGCACATATCTGTATTATAAAAAAACAAACATAGTTTTGCTTATGATGACTGCCTTTTTGTTGTGTGTCAATCAAATCAAAGTCTTCAAAAATATCTCCCTCTTGTGGAAAGCATGTTTTCGTCAGCTGTGGTGTCTGGCTGCCCACACCTGGCGACACAGAGGGCGAGTGGCACTGAGTGACGCGCAGCGCACTCCTTCCGCACCCCTCCAACTCCACGAAAGTCCAGGACGTGCTTTGGGGATCTGTTTCAAATATCATTTATTTCAAAAAGGATGAGAGACTAAATAATAATGATTGCAGTACGTTTAATGTATTAGCGACTAAAATGAGAGCCTCCACTAAAACAGAATGAATCTCAGCTTCTTTATCTGTAAGATGTGATATTAAAAATACTGCTGCCACGTAGGGCTGTGCTTTCAAGCACACAGAAAGTGCTCACTTAATCCATTCATCCTATTGTATATTTGTTGAATAATTATCTGCCTTTCTATTGTAGAATGGAATAACTAACAACGGCTCCCGCTTTTAGAGAACTTCCCCTATGTTCTTACAGAATCATTTCCATCCGATTCTATGGAGGGTGGCTGTCACTGCTCCAGTGTGGAAAGTGCCATTAGAGTCCCGGCAGGTCCCTTGTCCTGATGACCCTACTCCTAGTTCTTTGGCTTGGCGTTCTTGAGTGCTGGATTTCAGGGAGGGCTTTGGTCTTCCCTACCTGCCTCTGTTTGATCTGTTCTGGTTTCCTTAACCTCACTAAACCTCCTCCACCACTCATGTTACCAGGGTGTTGAGAGGACCAAAGGGGAGAATGTATGAAAACCTCACAGCATGTGGACACTAAATACTGGAAATGTCTGCTGTAATTATCTGTGGGAATATTAGTTGCTTTCATCCTCAGCTCAAAATAAAAATATGACCCTTCTTTCATATTCTTTCTCTGCCTTACAGTGAAATTTTGCTACATTATATGTAATATATTTGAGTTTGAATCAGCATATATTTTAATATTTAAACACTCATTTTTATATGAATGGGTTTCTCTATTTTAGGTATCAGATTTGGTAATAATTCTGAATTATGACAGAGCAGTAGAAGCTTTTGCAAAAGGTGGTAACCTGACACTTGGAGGGAATTTCACGGTGGCAGTCGGGCCCTTGGGAAGGTGAGTGCTATGAAATACTTTTGAGCAGCTGTTGGATAGAAAAGGCTTAAAAAAGTATATATTGTTATACATTAAGAGGAAACTTGAATTAAAGTGAAACAAATTTATGATTTATATATCTCCCAGAAAGTTTGAAACTGCTTACAAATAAGATATTTATAAAACACAGCCATGGTGATTACATGGGAAAATCCGAAACTAGCACACACAAAAAAGAAAACTAAATATTTCTGAAATGCAGACCATTGTATCTACTGGGATTGAATGTAAAATTACATTAAGTTTGGGAGAAGCTAAAGCAAGTCAAATTTAATTCACTGATAAAGGGCACCATTGATTAGGAAAGAAAAGGCTAAATTACGAAAAATTGAAATGGAAGTGTTTTACTTAGGTGTTGTTTAAAATACGTACAGTGGGTTTCCCTTCCCTATTAATAAAGTAATATTCTTGTGTTAACTGAGCAATTTAGAAATATTTTAAACCCAGACTGTTTATAGAAGTTACACGGTAAAATCATCTAGAAAGATTTCTAAGTCCCATGAACACATTCAATGTGAAAAGAATCCACAGTCTCCAGTACTCTTGAGACGTCGTTCCCTGTTTGAGGGAAGGAAGACAAAGTTGGAAACTGAAAGTGTTGCATGTGTTCCCTGCAACGCAGTCCTGTGTCACCACGTCCTTCTGAGACGATTTTGTCGACTCTGCCGTCCCCCACTCCGAGCCCTTCCTCTGAGCCACTCTCAGCACCCGGCTCAGGCCAACAGGAAGCAAAGTGTGCCCCGGCTGTAGAAATACACAGAGATCCAGGGCCATGCCACCCCGAGCGCCTGATCTCGGAAGCTAAGCAGGGTCGGGCCTGGTCAGCACTTGGATGGGAACAAGAACAGCACCCTTTTGGTTGGAAGTACAGTGCTATTCAAATGGGCACTCTTCGGTAGAGAGCCCCTCACAGCTCTGTGCTGCGAAACCTGTTTTGCAGGAATTTGGAAGGGAATGTGGCCTTAAGAAGCTCTGCGGCGGTCTTTACATATTGCAAATCCAGAGGCCTCTTCGCTGGCATAAGTTTAGAAGGTAGCTGTCTGATTGAAAGGAAAGAAACGAATCGAAAGTAAGTACAAGCCAAATAATGTTAAGCGATTTAAAGACCGTTTTATGAGAAAATGATACTTCAGAGATTTGTAGAGCAGCAGTTCTTCAGAGCTTACTGCGTAATTCTGAGTGTTCTTTTCTAAATCAGCTGCATATGGCTGTGAGTGTATTTTTCTTTATTTAAAAATTCAACATAAAATAATATGTACCTATAGAAAATTTAAACACAAAAAAGTTAAAAGGGAGAAAAAACATTTTATCCCTCTAAGATTATTCACATTTTGCTTTGTTGCCTTACATCAATTTCCTAAGCATAATTTTCTTTTGTTTTGGCTTATGTGATTGAATCATAATAGATTCAATTGTAAATCCTATTTTCCCACTTAGCATTATAAGAATCATAAATGTAAGTTAATGGCTACATAGTATTCTATTATTTAGATGTGTCATATTGAATACATTTTTTGAATATTTGCAGACATATGTGCCAGTTGCAACTTGTGGGTCAATCAAAATGTTTTTCATTATGAGAGGTTTCCTATTATTATATTCTGCCTTTGTCTGTCTTCCATAAAATAAAGACCACTTTTGGCTTAAAAAAAAAAAGAAAAGGGGGGTTTGGAAGAACCCTAACAGGCCAAGAGGACTTCTACTGCAAACTGGCACTGGCTAATTTTTCCAAAGTGGCTCTTCCAAATGTCCTCTAAAATATGTCCGATTGCCCAGAAAAAGATAAAAAGCGAAGGCTGATGGGGCTACTTCCAGAACCTGGCAGAAATGCCACCTACTGTGCGCCTGACGGAGCCAACATGGCGCATGATTTACAGCAGGCAGACCCACCCTCATAAGAGAGACACGCGTGTACAGAGTTTCCTGGGCCAATTCGCTCAAGAGCCCGGTGGGATGTGTGACACTGTTCAGTGTAAACCACAAACGCTAGAAAATGGGAGGAAGTGGGGCCCAGGCTCGCGGAACTTTTCATCTTACAAAGTCAAGAGAGACGTCTTGCTTCTGGTTTTCCACACTTGAGAAATACAAGCTGAGAAGCTTTTAGAAGCTCCTGGCTCTGGGCTTTTGGACAACTTTCCCACTAAAGTTCGCCCAAATTCTGGAAAAACTAAAACAAATGCACTTAATCAATAGTAGGGCTTCCAAGCATGTAAGGCAAATCTTTATATGATTCTGAAGCAAATACACATTTTAGAGACATTCCAAAGCCGTCCATGTTGGCACAAAGCCTTGGGTCAGGGCTGTTAAGACAATTAGCAGGTAAAAAGCTGTGAAACTGTATGTGCTTGTAGGAATATTTGCAGAAGTGCTCATATACGTATATGTATATGTGTGTGTACAGCTGTTTGTATGTATATCTGATGTACTTTTATATTTTTGCGGAAGGATATGCATGTCAGACTATTTATGGTGGTTGCCTCTAGGGGAACTTGGCGGGGGTGAATTTAGGGGTTTACCGTTTGGTATGGCTTTTAGTTAGTGTTTGAAAAGCAGTGTATGTGAAGTGCCACGTGTGAGTAAGTACACGCACATCCCCCGTTTAACTCTGCAAAGATCTACGTCTATAAAAGAAATGTTCTTAATTTGATATTTCTTGTTAGATTTTATTGCCAAGATATTCGAGCTTATGACATTTTATTTGGAGATATACCACGGCCTGCTCAAGCAGAAGAGCTTTATGAAATCCTTGATTCCTTTACTGAAAAGTATGAAAAGGAAGGACAGCGGACCAACGTGAGGAGGGCAGCGAGGGAGCAGAGGAAAGAGGCTTCGGTAGGGTCTGCTTTTCATGGTTCTCGGCAGCCTCAGTACACTTCTTTATATGGATATTCTGCCCTTGGCAGCAGGCTCCTAATAGCTTACTGACCTCCCCTTGTCAGTTCATTCATGTAAAGTTCTTGTGAAAATGTCGTACAACCTTGGCGTGTCCTCTATACAGATTTTAAGGAGAAACATAGTTTGTTTTCCATGATTGCATCTTTCCAAGGCTAGAACTTTGTAATACCAGCTGCTGGTGCTAAGAACAGCTGCTAATACGAGGTCAGCAGGGCATTGCGCGCCTTGGTCGCCTCATCCCCCAACCCCTTCCAGGTCGCTTCATGCCCCTCGTACAGGATGCAAACTGACTCAGGGTTTCAGGGCTCACCACGTCTCCCAGTCTCCCCGTCACTGCAGCTGCACAGGCTGTCAGGGTGCCAGGCTGCAGTGCGTTTCTGTCACATTAGGGCACCCCCGCCAACATCTGTGTGTTGTCAGCCGCTCACCCTTGTGTGTCCCCAAGCAGTACATGCGGGCATCTCGTTAATACTTGCGTGGGGTAAAGTTTGCCACTTATCCTCTTTGGGAAAAGCCTTGTCTGCTCCTACATAAAAGCAGGGTTTTAAGATTGTGTGCCTTTCTCGTTCCTCCCAGGCTACAGAACTGCCCCCCAAACCACTGTCACGGCCCCAGCAGCCATCTGCACGAGTCCAGCTGAACTCCGGATCTCAAAGTAAATATTTTTGTTACAACTCAAACACAATTATAATTAAGCAATTATTAAAAATTATTGTGAAGAAATTAAGCTACATTATTAAACTTTAGAGTCAAATAAAAGAATTAATGGATATTAAAGAAAGAAAACCAAATGCTTAGTGTCTTCTAAATACATAAGACAAATTCTCCTTGCTATAATTTGTTACACTTCTGTTCTCATTCAAAAAATGCTTTCTCCAATTTACAAAGAGATTTATCTTTTAAGTTTTTCGCAATTGTCGTTTCTTCCAGAGACTGTTATCCTGCTAATTTAAAATGGGAACAAAAGAAGCCTATTTTTTTTATATACTCATGGCTTTACATTTCTGAATATTAGTTTTAACACACATTCGTGGAAGCTCAGGATTTTATAAGGTAGTTTGAAAATGGACGGAATGGATACAGCACCACGTTCGGCCCTTTACACCCCATTGCGTCACTCGTTTTAACGCCGGTCACTCCTGGAATTCTGCTCTTCATACACAGAGGTCAGCAGTAACTACGATGTGCTAGCGTAGGTGACGTTTCATGGAATGATCGGCGCTGTGGAGGGAGCTTGCCCTCCCCGCCCCCTTCAGGCTCTCCGGGCCCCACGTCCAGGCTCCCCTCGTTTTCCTGGCTGGGCCTCCAGCATGCCCAGCACGACCTCATGTCCCTTGACACCTGGACACATGGCACTGTCCCCCTTGCACGGTGACGGCTGTCTCTGCCAGCTTTGCTGTGTCCTGTGCACATCTCTGCAAACCCCACTGCAGCCTCCACAGTGCTGGGACAGCTCTGCCTCTCCCGAGACTTCCTGCTCCTTTCGAGGTGCTGGGTCTCTATGGGTTTGGTGTTTCCCACGCTCACACCCTCTTTTCTCAGGCAACGCATGGTCCCAAGTTTAGAACACTGCTTCTGATTTGATAAAGGGAAAGTTTAAAACTGGTATCTACTTTTAACGTTTTATTTTAAATCTGACCTATTCCTAGATTCTATATTAAGAAACTAAATCTTAATTTTTATTTTTTTACATGTCCTCACACGTGGTTTTTGAATGCAGTATTTTTTCTTATCTGAGTTCCTTTTTCCCATTTCTCTTCTATCTTAGCTTGCATCTCACTCTCTTCCATACGTATTCCATGAAACCTATATAAACAACACAAGTGTAGACTTCCATATGTTTCTCCATGTTTGCGTAGTCCTGCATGTGAGCACACGTACAGACACCTATACACGTGGACAGAACACCTGTTGTTCTCTCACAAAGATGCTGTTGTATTTGCAGTGCTTCACTACATCTTTGTAGGTTTTTTTTGTTTGTTTTTTTTAAAACAACTTATGGAAATCCCTAAGTCAACTGGTATAGCTCTAACTAATTCTTTTTAATGACTATTTACATTGTCATGGTATATGTACATATTTTGTTCAGCCCTCGCCTGTTGATAGGTATTAACTTTATTTCAGTTTTTTTCCATGCCAAACATGACACAGTTACCATCTTCCTAAGTTCATGTGTCTATTATATACTGGCACTCTCACCAGTTTTGTGTGATAATTACTAGTAATGGACATAACAGCTTAAAAAAAACATTTAAAAAATTTTTAAACAGGTTTGGTAGATTGCTTCCTAAAAGTTTTTACTACTGCAGTCTCCACAATAACACTCCCACCATATACATTTCCCACCACGTACGCTCCCCACCAGGTACACTCCCAACCAGGTAAGCTCCCCACCAGGTACACTCCCCACCAGGTACACTCCTCACCACATTAGTGTTTTGAAGTGTTTGCGAGTCCTTGAGCTGGCTATATCTCCTTGTTAATTGGATTGCATTTGCCCCTGTCAATTAGTGATTTAAGCATTTTTTCATATAACTGCTGGTGTTTTAAATTTAATTTTTTCTAAAAAGTGTATTGATTTCATTTGTTTTTTCTATTAGAATATTTGTTATCTTTTCAATTTGTAGATGTGTTTTTATATAAAGGTTTTGTCTACCATTTGGGTTACAATTTTTTTCTACATTTGCCTTTTGATCTTATCATATATTTTACTATATGAAAATTTTTAATTTTTATGTAAAATATGTCAGTTATCTATTTTTGAAAGGTTTTATAGCTTTTTGTTGTGGTTAAGGTCTTGCCACCTCCTGTACAAGATTTCATTTATGGTCCCCTAGATTTTCTGGCATTAATTTTATTTTTGCAATTACTGACATGTATTCTTTAGCTACTTTAAAATCATTTTATCAATTCTTCCCTCCCCCAATATGCAATTCTAGGTAAAATAATATGTACTTATATTTATTCTCTGATTTGAGGGTATTATAATAACATTACATCTATAAATTAATTAATTTGGCATTTATATGATAATCTTCCCATTTTATATTTTCCATTCGTTGAGATATTACTTTATTTGTTTCCCAAGATTTCATAGTTGTTGTGCCTTTCTTGTTAAATGTATTTCTAAATACTTTGCAATTTTGGTTTGCTGTGGTGAATGAAATGTACTTTTCCATTTCTATTTTAGAGTGCGTATTTTTATAGTTGAGAAAGTCTTAATTTGCAGAATGTTTGTCTTTTGTCACCTACCCCAAATCTCTGATTTCTAGTCAGTTTTTAAAAATAGATTCCTTACCATACCTGTACCCTATTCCCCATCGTGCCAATGTTTATTCCTATATTCTTACCTCATAAGCTTGTTGGGCCAGCGGCCATCAGTGGTGACCGTCTAGGCTCAGCGAACACAGAGGCCACCTGGGGTGTGTGGGCGTGGATGACTGAGGAGGTTCAGTCTCCAGACCTCCAGGGCCCAGATGAGCTCTTCCTTAAAGTGAATCCAGCTGAGAACATGCCATGCAGGCGGTCCTCTCTGTCTCCCATCCTTTTATAATAGGTTTTTTTAGGGTTTTTTTGCACTTGAATAAGAAAAGCAACCTCCAAATCATCCTGAATCTTACTATGCTGCATCATTCTCCAAAATGTGAGAACAGTGATCCTATTTGAAATATGAATGTAGTTATGTAGTTAGTAAATGGTTCTGATGAGTAGAAAATACTTTTGTAGATCAGGTGGTTTCCATTATATATTATTATTATATATTATATATTGATATTATTTAAAAATCACGTAGCTATCACCAAAACAATAAGTTGTATTATTATTTTATTATTTGATAAATAATGCTTTGTTATTGTTGTTTTGATGATACATAACTATGTGATTTTTTTTCACCTCTATCTCAGATGGAACATAAAATAATTGTTACATTGCTGTAAAATATTTCCTTCTAGCCTTCTTTCGTTATTATAAGAACCAGCTTTCTTTGTACCTATATCTTTGAAAAAAAATACTAAAATAGAATTTGATGTTGAACCTATGTCATTATGGAAGTAAGAAATAGCATCCTGTGTATATCAACTAATTTTAAGTCTCATCTATATATTGAGATGCAGTTCAAATAAAATTTTACTTTTATGTTTAGTAAGTTAAATTCATAATATATTTAAGATTTTGATCAATTGTGTACAAATAATTATGACAACTTACTGTACAAGAAATTATTTAATAGAGACTTGCTTACTTAAAATAAAATTTAAAAACTACATTTAGGTACAAATTTTTGTTATAGAAACTGTTACATAGAAAATATAATAATACATTAGTATAAAATCTTTGGGACAAATGGAATGGAAATATGATCTGAAGATTAAAAATGAGTATTACATAATTTCTAACTATTGAAAAAATGCTTGTTGGTTTTCTTTAATGAATGATGTAGGGCTTCAGGTCACTAAAATATTTAGACTCTTTTATCAAAAAAAAGAGAGGGGTGATTATTTAATTTAAATAACTGATAATGAAATATGCTAAAAAGTATACCTTTTACAACCTTTAACCTTGTGTTGAACATTTTTAGGTGTTAATTAAGAAATATACAAGTGAATATATGCTATTTAAAACTTATTTTAGGTGTTACGCCAGCAAGGATGGTTGAAAATCGCTGGCTTGGGGGTTACAAGCTTTTTCTATTCAGGTATTTTGTGATCACTTCTGGAAAAAGATGTGTCTGTGTTTCCCACAGGTGTGTAATTGCAATGCCACGCACTGTAGTTGATGTGCTTCTGACCCTATGATGTCAGATATTTACCATCTGCCTTCTATTTGGTGTATTTTCTGGGTTTATTCAGGCATTTCTTCTTGCTATCATGATCAAATAATGATATTTCTATCAATTACAGTGATTTATAATATTTGCTTAGCAAGAGCAAGATTTGACATTCTTGGGTACTTTACATATTATAAATTAATAAATTTTCTAAATGTTCCCTCTGTTTTTTTGCAGGTAACAAAAATGAATACAAGCTCTATCCTGAACTTTCCGGCTATCATGAGAGAGCTGGTAAATAAAAATATCTATATGTTAAAAGTGATTTCTATCCCTCTTATAATCACAGACTCTCATTAATCTGGTAGGTTGTGAAAATCTCTGGGAACGTGTTCAGCACCCCTTCTTTGATTCATAGGATAGCCACATTATTTTTAGAAGTACTTCATTTAAAATATGCTATGCTTTTCTCTTGCTTGCTTTTAATTTGAGGTAATGAGAGTGATGTAGAAACCGAAACAGATAAAAAATAGTCCTTCGGCCTGTCTTACTTTAATAATCATTATAAAATGGTCTTTGAAAGAATTAAGCAATTATTTAGATATATGATTGGGACACAAAATGAGGGCAAAGGTTAAGCAGTTATAAAATAGCCTATTTTTCTCACATCATTTTTTTGTCACTGGAGTCACAGAACTGTATACTATTGGATTAAACTCTTAAGATTCATCTGTTTCATGTAAATAGAATATCAAAGTAATTAGGTACTCATGTTTTTTTTTAATGTATACAAATATTTCAAAAATACCTCTTAAGCAGAGTCCTCTGAGCAGAAGTCAACCTTTTCCTGGTGGGTTAGGATTTCTGACTTTCCGCTTGCTTCCAGCCTGGCTTCCTGCTGATGTCCCAGGTGAACTGTCCCCAGGGGCTGAGGTCCTGCTGACTGCTGTGCTTGGAGTTGTGTGATGGCCTGGGGGCTTAACCATGGGGGGATGCTGTGGTCTCCGCCTTACTAAGAAAGCTCTGTGAGCTTGTAAAAAACAAATTTTGCTCTCTGTGATTTGCAAAAATTACTGAGATTGTCAAAAGTTCGACCTTTGGATACCTGTGTTCAGAAGCAAAAGAGGTAACGTGTAAATGTTTATACCAAAGGAGCATACACACCTGGAGGCTTGTATCACAGTCTTTTACCCTTGAAGGTTCTGCAAGAATTAGACCTGTACACGTTTTCCTGCAGTTAAAGGGGTTCTTGAATTTGACAAGGTCAACAGACAAGTGGAACTTGCTGGGGGAAGGGAACAGGGGGAGGGGGACGATGGAGGCATAAAGGACTGTAGCTACAAGAGAACAGCCTGTGGACCCCCAAGGCTGCCGTGGTGATGTGATGTGGAGACTGGAGTCCCTTTTCTGAGGTTTCTCTAAAGTCTGTACCTAGGCACCTGATAAGTATTAGCAATATCTCTTAAAAGGCACTGAGGGAAAGTGTTTAATGATAAACGAGCCCTAAGAGGGCTCTAGGAGACAGAGGCTAATCTAAATGCGACACTGTCATCCAGTAACCATGTGATTCAACGAAAGGTGTCCCGCCCGCGGTTGGCTTGCTGGTTGGTTTTTGTTTTTACATCCGAGGGTAGGATGAGTTAAGCTGTACCACCAGTAGATTCTAGATTAACATTAATATTAATTTATTTTAGTCCTCTCTCCAAAGATAAGGGATTCCGAAGAAAAAACTGACAGGGAAAATTTAAAGTCTATTTTTAAAATAAAACGTGCTTTACATTGCTGTCTTTTAGAAAGCAGCTGTGAAACCACTGAAACGCTTCCCAAGCCCTTCCTTACACCCTGGCCGGCCGGCCCTGCACAGAGCAGCCACAGTACCCAGGCCTGAGCCTCCAACTGCAAACCCTCTGAAGCCCGACATCCCGCGCACCCCAGCCCGCAGAGTGCTGTGCACTTCTGGTTCGCACACTTAATAGCTCTGACTACGCAGTGCTTGGGCCTCTTGGCCAACAGGTCCCCAGCCCGATTTGCTGGGAGTTTTTGTAACTGAAGCTCTGCGCCCGCCTTTCAGCTCTCCCACCTTCCTCAGCATGGGGATGGCCTGTGCTGCATGGGTGTTGAGCAGCACCCCTGGACTAAGCCCACGGGGGGCCTGTCACGCCCCCTCCCCAGTTGTGGCAACCACGAATGTCCCCGCGTGGCCTTTGAGAACGAATGGTCAGGTGGCCTCATCTGGCTCAGTCACCACTGACACAGTCCTGTAGGGGACATGGTCCCCAAAGCTACACAGACCCCACACGTGGCCTGGGGGACATGTTGCCAGAATCAAGCCACCTGCCCAGCTTGTCATGACAGTAAACACAGAAGCAAAGCTGTGTCCCCCGTGTCCCGCTTGCCCTCTTCCACCGCCTTCCTCAGGCTGATTCTCCTGCACCTTCAGGCCTGGGGGCAGGTGTGATGGCCACATATGGTGACATGAAGCAGGCCCCACTGAGCAAGTGGAGGGGAAGTAAAACAGCAACATTCCAGACATTCCAGGACCCAGCCTTGCTAATTGTGAGCCTCAGGGCAGCTGCCAAACACTAAAGCTGATTGTACTGTTTCCTGTGAAGTGTAGCCCTGACTTGGGAGAGAAAAATCACCACTGTTAGGATTAAACTTGAATATTATGATGAAAATGGCCAACTGCTTCAAAGACCCACCAGCTGTTTTTTACGCACAGGTTTATACAACTTGACGCCTGTGTGACTCAGGCAGGAAAGCAGCGGTGAACCAGTAGGCTCCCTTCTTAAAAGGACAGAACCACTGGGCTCACCTTTTCTTTTTTTTTCTTTTTTTATTATTTTTTTTATTTTATTTTAGCTGAGCCATCCTGCCACCTGTTGGCAGCTCAGCGTCAGCTCAGCTCTGGCCAGGAATCGAACCGCTGTTGCTCAGAGCTCACACTCTTGAGCGAGCTCTTAACCAACTGAGCCACTTGGCCTGCCCACCTTTTCTTTTTTAATGAATTATTTTGTGGGCATAAAACTTCTCCTCTGGAAATTCCCCTAGTATTTGCAGTAAAGAGGAACTTTAAGTCATTTTGAGCTTATTCGTGGCATCAGGTGGCCAGGGGCAGCCTTCACTCGGGTGTGGCTCACTGTGTTTTTGTGTGGGTGGGTGGGTTCCCCAGCACCTGCCCGACTCTGGACTCAGGGCTCCCAAGGGTTTGCCTGCCTAGAGCACCGGGTAAGGAACCTGGCGTGCGTGTCTCCTGTCCCAGCTCTGCCAGCACCGCCCTCACCACCTGCCCCGCCGAGGGTGCTGAACGCCGCCTTTTCAGCCCTGCGGCACTGCTTGTTCTGGGCAGCAACTCGAAACCGTCGGCTGTGCCCCATCACTGCTTCATCCATCTCTCATTTGGAAACTCAGCTCAGAGGGCATTAGGGCACCTGAGTCAGAGGGCAAGGCCTGAACCAGCGCTGCGTCCTCTCTCTTCTTTAGCTCATAACATCTTTCTTCTAATTATCCATCATAAAATGTTTTCCTAAAAATGGTAAGAACTGGTTCAGTTATCAGTGATCACCCAGGATGATCAGCACCAGATGTGCCTATCTGTGCAGCCTAGATAACTCAGCCACGCAGAACAATAGGCCCGTTCTCCTTGAAAACCGGCCTGACGGAAGCTAAGTGGTCTGACAAACCTAGGTCTCTGTGTGACACACTCGGATGCTTGTGTGATTGCTCAGGCCTGGGGTGTGATGTCAGCGATGATTACAGGCTTCTGAGGTCAGCGCAGCGCCCGCCCTGGACACATGCAGGTGTCTGTGGAGGTCCGGTAGCTGCCTTGCTGGAGGCCGGTGAGGGGGGTGCGTGTCGGCGCCTGCCACTGGCCAGCTCACTAGACAGTGATGCCTGCGAGTGCTGGGACCCTCTTCCCTGTGCGTCTCTCACTCGGCAAACGCGGGACACACATGTGCGTGCGTGTAGCTGAGACGGCCGTGGCTTCCAGGGCATCCACAGAGACCTGCAAGCACCCTTGCTTCTTTCTATCCCCCAATGCGTCTGCAAAGAGGGAGAAGGGATCACTTGGTTTCCTGGTTGAGTTTGGTTAATCAAGATTGAGCTTTATATGTGGAGGTTGCAAATACAGTTATTGATAAGAAAATGATTTTCAGAATGATTCTTCTTTACCATTAACTTGCATTTTTCTGACCTAACGACCCTGAGGCGTGGCCTGAGGACTTGCCGTCCGCCCCATCTCCCGTGGCATCACGGCTACTTTCATACAGTCATGACCATTAATACGTATTAGCCGTCATTTAACTGGCTTTGATTATATCCAGACTACATCAAAATATTATTTTTGTGACATTTTTAAACCTTATTCCTTCAAATTGATAGACTAAAAGTAAGTATAGTATAAAATATAAAAATATGCAGAACTTTTTGTATTTTAGAAAAAACTGATTATACCAGTAATACCTCTAAGGTATTTATCTCACTTACAAAGGTTATTTCTTTAGGACTCAAAGAACTGCATGACACATGCTTCATAGAAAGACCTGTAGCACCATCCTGTGTGGCTACAAATTCAGTGTTTCAGTCAATGGAGTTTAATTAAACTGTTGACTAATTTTATTTCTTATCAACAGGCCAAGTTCAGTTTGCTTTTCATTGTTCTAATGTTATAGGTTCAAAGAAATAATTGCTTTAGAGTTCTGTTATTCATGTTTTTCATGTATTTGTTCTTAGATGCATTTAACACAAGCCTCTAACTGCATAATTTGTGCAGAAAATTACATGAAATAGCAGTATGTAGCTGGCTTCCCAGAAAGTATCCGTTTATGTTTTTACAATGCTATACAGCTTATCATATTTAATGCCTTTTACTCATTTGACCATTCAATTCTCCAAGTATTTTTTCCCAGTATAATGCATTAAACTCTGCACATTGTGTTGAAATTTTTGTTAAATATGTGTTGTCACGCTTCTTAATGTGCTAATTTGAATAACATCTCTGTTTTGAGAGAAAGGACCAATTAAGCAAAGAAATGAAACCAGCCGTGGGGGATGGCGAAATGCCTGCTGATGAAACGGCAAAATACACCATCTGAGCCAGAACCTTTAAAGCCAGGGACTACAGAGCATAGTTTTTAATTGAACCTTTTATGATACAATCATGAGTGTAAATATCAGCTTTTCTCTAAAGCTGTAATTCATGGAGACATTGTGACTACTCTATTAAAATAATAAAAACAAATAGTATCATATAGATTATTCAAAATTCAAACAATTATAACCACAAATATTTGCTAAATACATTGTTAAGTATATAACAACATGCAATTTGACTTGTGTGGATTTAGTAAATGTATTAATTACCAAATCCTACCTGCTGTTTTCAGAGAAGAAACACACGAGTTACTAGTGTGGGGAGGCCCACACAGACCGTCTCTGGGGCTCTGCCGGCTGGAGGGCCCAAGGACCCTAAATCACTGTCTCGGATCGCACCTACACATACTCCCAGTGTTTCCCATAAAAATGTGTATAATTTAAATATTTTTGTCTTGTTTTAGGCAACTTGAATCAACCCATTGAAGTGACGGCGCTGTATTCTTTTCAAGGACAACAGCCGGGCGATTTGAGTTTTCAAACTGGAGACAGAATCACAGTTATATCAAAGACAGACTCACATTTTGATTGGTGGGAAGGAAAACTTCGAGGTCAAACTGGCATTTTCCCAGCCAACTATGTTACCATGAATTAAAATTTGTATTATTTTCTTCCTTGAAAATTAAAAAAAAAAATCAGTTCTACACTGATATGATTTACTATCCAGTTAAGCAATGTTTAATGTAAATTTTAAAATACTTCTGTTTATTCCATAAACACTTATCTGATATGTAAAAGATTTTGTTTCTCACGTAGAAATGGCTAATTTGTGTGTCTTTAAATACTTTGTACTAATTTTATCACATTACTATTTAATAGTTAATGTCCTCAATTCATACGACCACAGTTCCTTTGTGTTCACTGTCAAACATCACTAAATATTTGATCTGGCTGTGTATCTGGTAACTGTTTAATCTGAGAATCTTAAGCTAGGGGCATGAATACCAGCTTATGTTTTTCTATTTGCAAAGTGACTAGAGAAAAAGAAATCAGCTTACATAGGATAGTAAGTAATACTTAGAATTGTAGGTATTAACTAGAATATGAATCCTTAAAACTTACCTTACACTTTCTAAGATTCTATATAAACATTTGTAGTAGACACATGCTATTACAAAGAAGTTCAACCACTATTGCATTTTGAGAAGTTGACATCTTATTAACTTTTCTCTTTATAAGGTCATGTTTGTTCATTTCTAGCAGTAGAATCACCTTATAGTGACATGGTTCAGTTGTCCCAAAATAAATGTTTTTTAAATACTAAGTTAATGTCGTGATTTTGACTTTCTTTTCTTTTTGTAAAGTAAACATAGGTCCTGTGGTTCTGCAGGTTAAAACCCACCTCCGTGATTGGGCTGCCTATCTTTTTTTCAGCTTTATTAATATACAATTGACAAATAAAATTGTAAAATAATTAAGAGTTACCACATGATAAGTCGATACACATATACATGTACCCAATACAACACCATGTTATCAATCAGAGTCACCATGCTGAGTGTTAGCTCACCAGAACTTATTCCTGTTACAAGTGGAAGGTTTTATCCTTTGACCAACATCCCTTAATTTCCCCGTCCCTCAACCCCTGGTAACCACCAAGCTACACTGTTTCTATGAATTTGGCTTTTTTCGATTTCCATATAAGTGACATCAAACAGTATGTATTTATCTTTCTCTGACTGACATTTCGCTTAGCACAATGACCTCAAGATTCATCCACACTCTGACAAATTCCAGGATTTCCCCTATATATATATATTATATGCTATATATACTATTCATAGTATATATTGGGTTGTCGGAAAAGTCATGACGCATTTTTACAACAAAAAACAGAAAAAAATACATCATGACTTTTCCAACAACCCAATATATGAATAGTATATAGTATAGTACATATATATATATGTGTGTGTGTGTGTGTATATATATATATATATATATATATATGAATTCTATATTCATTCATATATTGATGGGCACTTAGGGTTTTCTATATATTATAACATGTTGTCACAAACATAAATTTGCTTCTTCCTTTCCAATTTGGATGCCTTTTATTTCTTTTTCTTGCCTAATTGCTCTGGCTGGGACTTCCAGGACTATGTTGAATAGAAGCGGCGACAGTGGGCCTCCTTGTTTGTTCCTGATCTTAGAGGGAAAGCTTTCAGATTTTCACTGTTGAATATGTTGTTGACTGTAGGTTGGTCATATATGAGCATGTGTTATAATCCCCACATACTTGTGAATTTTCCAGGTTTTTTTCTTGTAAATGATACCTAGTTTCATACCATTGTGGTCAGAACTGATGCTTGATATAATTTCAATCTTCTTGAATTTATTAAGACTTGTTTGGTCTGTCCTGGAGAATATTCCACGTGCTCTTAAAAAGAGTATGTACTCGACTAGTGGATGAAATGCCCTGTGTACATCTGTGAGGGGTGTCTGGTCTAACATGTAGTTTCAGTCTGATGTGTCATTCTCTGGCTGGATGACCTATCAATTATTGAAAGTGGGGTGTTGAAGTCCCCTACTATGATTGTATTGCTGTCTGTTTCTCCCTTAAGGTCTGTTAATATTTGCATGTTTAATGCTCTAATGTTGAGTATGTAAATGTTCACAATTGTTGTATCTTCTTTGTGAATTGAGTTCTTTGTCATTATAAATGACCGTTGCCTCGTTTCAGTTTGGGACTTAAAGTCTATGTTGTCTGATATAAGTGTAGCTACCCTTGCTTTCTTATGGTTTCCATTTGCATAGACTATCTTTTCATCCTGTCACTTTCAGTCTGCAGTGAGTCTCTTGTAGGCAGCATATAGTTGGAACTTTTTAAAAATCTATTCAGTCACCTGATGTCTTGTGATTGGTGAATTTAGTCCATTTACACTTAACATAATTATTGAAAGGTATGGACTTATTATTGACATTTTCATAGTTTTCTCACTGTTTTGTCATCGAATGAAAAACAATATCAACTAGGTGTTTCATCACCCCCGACCCCAAAAAAAGGATTTATTTAGAACATAAGAAAGTCTCAAAACCAATGACCTAAGCATCCAAATACGTTAAAAGAATCAAATAAACCTGAAATTCTGGAAATAAAGAGAACATACATATATGCAAGAGAGAAATTAGTTTAAAGAAAATAATAATAATAAAGAGAAAGAGAAAAGTTGTTTCTTTGAATAGACTAATAAAATTTGCAAACCTCTGCCCAAAACTGATTTTAACAATTACAAGAAGGCAACCCAAATAGACAGGATCAGGGATGAAAAGGGAGACATAAAATAGAAGATGCAGGTATTGAAAATTTTTTAGAAAACGCTACAATTTTGTAAATTTTGACACATGAATCCATAATTTACATAAATGAATTTTGTAATCTTGCCCTTCTGCCCTTTCTGACCTCTTCATCTCCAGCCATTCACTCATCTACTTTCTGTCACTAGGGACTACTTTCGCATTTGCTATCATTTTATATAAATGGAATCATTAAGATGAACTCTTTTTGGTCTGACATACTATAATCCACATTGTTTTGAGATTTATTCATGTTGTATGTATCAATAGTTTATTCCATTTTGTTGCTAAGTAGTGAGTAGTATTCCATTGTGTGGATGAACCACAATTTTTATCCTTTTTCCATAGATATTCTTTCCTAGTTTGTGGCTAAAATAAAACAAAACGTGCTATAAACATTTTTATACAGGTCATTGCATGGACATACCCTTTATTTCTCTTGACTAAATACACAGGAACAGAAGGTGTATGGTTTACTGAAACTGTTCACTGCTTTCCACAGTAGTTGCACCATTTTACATTCCAACAGCAGCGTATGAGAATTCCAGTTCTCTGGGTCCTGGCCAACACTTGGTATTGTCAGTGTTATCGATTGTAGTCATTGTAGTCGATTTGAATTGCTCTGTTATTTACTTTTATTGGTTCCATTTCAATTTTTATTTCCCTAATGACTAATGACGTTGAGCATCTTTTTCTTATCTTCCATTTGTGTGTCTTCTTTAATGAACTGTCCAATCTAATTTTTTCCATTTTTATATTGGTTTGTTTCTCATTGCATTTTGTAACTTCCTTATGTATTTTGAATAAAATCAGATATATTGATGTGCAAATATTTTCTTTTAGTCTGTGACTTATATTTTCACTCTCTTAATGGTGTATTTCAAAGAGCAGATGTTTTTATTTTATTTTATTATTTTTTTTTTTTAGCTGAGCCATCCTGCCACCTGTTGGCAGCTCAGCCACTGCTCAGCTCGGGCCGGGACTCGAACCTCTGTTGCTCAGAGCTCAAACTCTTGAGTGAGCTCTTAACCAACTGAGCCACTCGGCCGGCCCACAGATGTTTTTAATTTTAATGATGTCCACTTTACCAGTTTTTTTATGTGTAAATTATGCTTTTGATGTTTTATGATGTAGTCATTGCCTAACCTTAGGTCACAAAGACTTCTCTCGTGTTTTCTTGTAGCATTTTATAGTTTCAGATTTTACAATTAGGTCTCGGATCCAATTTGAGATCATTTTTGTACATGGTGAAAGATGGATCCAAAAAAATTTCTTTTTAGTGTTCTTTTTCTTATATCATAGTAAAAATTAACTGGGCTCCCTGGAACTGAGAGCTGCCTCTTCAGCAGTTCTGAAAAAAATTCTCAGCAAAATTTACTTTAAATGGGGGAGAGGGGTTGCACTTTGAGGGGTAAAAAGTATAACTATTGCACTGTGTTGTACACATGAAATTAATTTAAAAAAATAAAATGAAAAGAAAAAATAATCACAGAATCTGATGTCAGTAAGCCTGAAGTCTGTTCAGTTTACACTTGACATCAGTTTACACACTCTTGCGAACTTGATTTAGTGTGCACACTTGTGTTTTCTTTCAATAATCAAAAACCAAATAAAACTATCTTTAATAAAAAAAATGTACTTAAAAATATTGTCATATTCCCAGTCTTACTTTTTTTCCCCTTTGAAACTCTCTTTAAACATACATTAAACCTTACCACTTTGACCATACCTCTTACACTCTGTCATATCTTCTCTTTGTCTCATTAAACTGTATTTTGAATAATTTATTTAGACTTATCTCCTAGTTTTCTGGTTCGTCTTCAGTTGTATCTGATCTGCTACTTAATGCATCCATCAAGTTTTAAATTGCAATTATTACATTTTCATTTATGACATTTCCACTAGTTCAATTTTCAAACGTGCTGCCTTGATTGTCTCTTATGCTTGCTTCTACCTTCCAGCTCTCCCTCACTGCTGTGACCGTAAGGATTTGCAGCTCATGTCCGACCATTTCAGTCCCAGACGTCCTTTGCTTTACAGTCAGTTCTTTGCTGCTGCTCACGTCTAATGCCTTGTTCTTTGTTTCTTGTTTTTGTGACAGGAAACTGATCAGTTTCCCTGCAACTGTACTGAAGTCTTGGCTCCATGGTGCAGACCCCCATAGAATTTGCTTCCCTACCAGTTCCCAGGGCTCTAGCACCCAGAACCACTTCACACGAAAAAGCCTGACTGAGGGCTTAAACCACTGGATAATGCGACTGGGGTCATAGCCTGTGTGTGTGATCTACGTCGTCACCAACACAGGCCTCGCCCCTCCTCTCCCTTCTGTGCGCAGTTATTTCCTGATTATACGGTCACCGAGTGCGTAACCTTTGGAGCCTCAAGTTTTCTGGGCTCTTCTGTTTCCCTTCCCACCCGAGACAGGTCTTGGCTGATTCTCCTGTATTTCATATTGAATTCAGCCTTCAAACTTGAATTCATTCTGGGTCCAGTCTGATTTGGGCATTACCTACCCACCAGGATTCCAGCTTTCACTTAGTTTCTGCCCTCTGCATCCCTGTTTTTATGCCAGGTCAGCATCACTTTTAAAATAGCCGCTGTTTTGTCCTGTATTTTAGACAATATGGTCACTAAGAGAATGAAATCTGACTTACTGTTGGAAATGGAAGTCTTTTTAACCCTTTTTAAAATTTTATTTTCTTAGTTGGTTTTTATTACTAAATGTTCTATGTTTCTAACGAGTTTCTGCAGTCCCTCACCTCCCTGGGGCTGCTTCCATGTTTGTCATCCTTTTAAAGATGAACTTCCGTTTCCTCACTTTCTGATTCCCGTCAGTTAACACTCAATCATCTTCTAGCAGCTCACCATCTCTCCCTGAAACATCGACAGTGTGTCCATTTAAGGGACACGGGTCACCGTGCTTGCCGAGGACAGTAAGGCTGGTCAGAGGTCCCAGCAGGAAAA